GAGGCCTTACTTAAGTAAACAACTATACGGAAGTGGGCATAGCGGTGACGTGGTATGCACATGATCACCACGGGAACAGTACATGCAACCAATCCTCACCCGAAGATTAGTTTCCGTGCACGTGGACAATGAACCGATTGGCTAGGGGCCCTATAAGGCCCTGGGGGTTGGGGAAAAGAGAGAAGACGATTGTAAGAAGCCTGGGGAAATAAAGCGTTCCGGAGAAGACCTTGTCAGCGTCGTCATTAAAGCGGCAAGGTATTGGTATTATTTCCATTTTATAGGAAAGAGAACTGAGGCACTGAGAGGTCAACTTAAAGCTGGCCAAGGTCATGAGGGGGTAAGTGGCGGAGCTGGGAGCATAAACCTGGCACGCGCTAATGAAGGAGGGTTGGTCGCACCCTTACCTGATAGAGGCTGACGTACTGTTTCCGCAGCCACTGCTGTCTTTGGTCAGGGAACCTCTTCATCTTTCTCACGGCTCTAGTGAGTTCCAACAATCCACTGAAGAGCATTTTAGCCGTGTGCTTCGGTGCCACAAAGTGCAATAACCTATTGTCCGTGGTCTGAAGCCCATAGAGTAACGTCACACCAGTTTCTGACAGAAACATGGTACCCAGTTTGTTCTGAACACACACAGTGTGTATATCGATGCCAGGGTGTCCCATGTACACAGCCTTCACTGAAAACAGATCCAAGACCCCCTCCACCAGGCTGCTCAGTCCAGCATTGCCCAGTAGTGGGAATTTGCCAGGCTCAGCTGTGTTGCTAAGCACACTGAGCTTTGCTTTAGTGCTGGCTGGGGAGGCAGTGGTGGGCTTTATCCAGGTCAAAGTGCTATTGTCAGGCTGAAGCTGAAGGAAGCAGCGGGCTGAGAGGTGCGTGTCCTGGTCGTAGTGGATGACTGTGGCCCCCTGTAGCAGGAACTGGTGCACGTCAGCTGGGATGGACAGCACGTACCAAGGGATGAGCTCCGTCCCATGGTTGAAGGCCTTCTGTGGTTCATCTGCTCCATGAGAGTCGCATTCTTTGGACTGCTCAAAGATGTCATTTTCTGAATCCAGCAAATCTCCGATTATAAACCTAATGGAAAGAGACAAAATGTGATCTGTCTTACAATTAGAAGTGAGAACAAGCCAAAGCCTTTCATTGAGATGGGGCTTCATTTTTCATCCCATTGATTCAAATTAGCATAGGAAACATAAAATCCTCAATATCATGGAGTATTTTCTTTCTTTCTTTTTTTTTTTTTTAAAGATTTTGGCCATAGGGTGCATGTATTCACCAGAGAGAGACAGAGAGAGGGAAAGTGAGAAATCTAGGGAGGATGGCCATGCCACAATACCTTCTCTTCCAGTCTCTTCTTGGGATTTTGGGGATACACAGACATATGCCCAGTGAATAACAAAGTAATTTTTTAAAAGTTTTATTTCTTTCATGAGAGTGAGGGACATAGAAAGAAACAGATAATTTTAAAGATTTTGGCCATAGGGTGCATGTATTCACCAGAGAGAGACAGAGAGAGGGAAAGTGAGAAATCTAGGGAGGATGGCCATGCCACAATACCTTCTCTTCCAGTCTCTTCTTGGGATTTTGGGGATACACAGACATATGCCCAGTGAATAACAAAGTAATTTTTTAAAAGTTTTATTTCTTTCATGAGAGTGAGGGACATAGAAAGAAACAGATAAGAATCCTCAACAGGGTCTCATGCCCTGATCACACCCCAGCCTTCCACGCCACACTAATAGGCATGTGTGCCCGATGTGTACAGGTCAGCCAGGGAACTAGACCCGCAATCTTCCTTATGGATCTCACTTCACTTGAGCAGCGTGTTACCACTGTGCCACTGAGTTGGCCCATAGGGAATAGTTCATAACTATATTCTGAAACCTTGTATTTAGCAAGGTGACTGACTATAGAAATAAGAAAGAAACTATTAAATGAGTAGTCTACTATATTTATTATCAACAATAATCTTATGTATTAGTTTTCCCTCGTTTCAAGAACCATGTTAAATATTTTTATACATCTTTGCACTAAATCTAACCTACTTGCAAAGTAAGTTTTATTATTCTCTATTTACCTGTGAGGAGAGTGAGGTTCAAAAGGAGAAGTAACTTGTTGAAGGTGATCCAGTTCGGGAGAGGCCTAGCTAAGGTGGAACTCTATCTGAGATCTCTATCACTAAGCTTTTTTTCCTTCTAATTAAGTCACGTACAAAGTCACTGCTGAACAATGATGCGGCGGTAACAGGATGCTTTGTGAGGCTGATCCACATGGGAAGGGTCTATGTTCATATCCAGAGGCCTCTCTGAATATGTCAGTTGCATGTGTGCCTGTGACTTGGGTTTGCTGAAACTGGGGGTGGGTCACATCCTCAAGACCCTGTTGAGGGTGCTGTCTCTCTGTTTCACTCATGGAAGAAAGAAAAAAATAAACTAAAAAATAAAATAAAATCACGGGGCCAGCCAGGGGTATGGTGGTTCAAAAGGATGGATCTCACATGGCCAACAACATGGTTCAAGTCCCAGACCTGATGGCTTCAGAAACATGACTGGCATGTGTGTGTGCAGGCCCTAAGTCCCAACAGGATAGAGAAATGGAGGAGAAGGGATTACAGCATGGTCATCCTCCATAGGAGGGTATTTTCTTTCTCTCTCTCTTTCTCTCTCTGTCTCTCTCCAGTAGGTGCATGCACCTTATATTAAACTGAAAAACAAACAAACAAAAAACCAAAAAAGTCATGACTTGAATGCATTGGAGCTAAAACAGGAAAAAGTAAGACTTACTTGCCTGGCCTGAGAAAAATTCAAAGACGTCACTGGGAAATACGGTGATGGTTGCCAAGTAAGCAAGAACAGCTCTCCTTGACTCAACCTTGGGATTTTTCCCTGTGTGTCTGTGCACAGAAAACTTAGCAAGTTCCCTTTCCTGAGTCAGGATTGGGACTATCAGAGCTAGCAGGATCTCAAGGAAGCAAGGACTATCGAACTGCCTGCTTTCTATCTGTCCTTGCCAGGAACCTGCCCAACAGTGGTTCATCATCTTCAAAGCATAAGAGGTTGTTAGTAAGGTCAAGGTTTCTGCAATCTGGCTCACACCAACCCTCACAAGATGGCGGATAAAACTGTGAAAGAGCTTGTACACAGGCCGGTTAATACTGCTCTGGGAAGGAAGGTTCTATTGCCTGAAGCACTTGGGTAGATCACTGCCTCTCTGCAAGGCCCAACCAGCAACATTAAGCTTTTTATATATTTTTAAGGTTTTTCCTTTTAATTACCAGAGGGCACATGTACTCACCAGAAACAGAGAGACAGAGAGAAAGAGAGAAAAAGAGAAAAAGCATCCCCTAATGGAGTATGGTCATGACACAATCCTATTTCCATTTCTCTATTCTTTTGGGATTTTGGGCATGGGTGCCCATGTACCAGGCATGATTTCAAGTTGCTGAGACCAGGATTTGAACTGGAGTTGACAGAAAAACTTTTGTGTCTAACTTACCTCCACCCCTCTGGAATTGCTCTCAATCATAACAGAATATCAATACAGTGTCCTGTTACACAACTGCTTCGTAATGCCCCCTTTCCCCCTGGGGTCCTCTGGGGTTTAATGTTCAGTTCCACACCTTGTTTGATGTGTCACCTCAGAGAACACTTAGCCTTCCTGAGTCTCATCTTACTTATCTATTAAATGGCAAAAAATAAATAAAATAAATAACCCCCATCTCATAGAGTAATTGTAAAGATCAAAGAAGATCACATTTGGAAAATACTCAGCATACAGTCTGGCTGGTAAAGGCCCTTGCTGTAACTAAAGATAGGAAAACGAATTTCATTCCTTCAGGCTCCTTCCACACTGCCTCTACTCTAGGCTAAGTCAGTTTGGCTGCTCTTCTAGAGGGGTTTTCTTTAGTGCCACTTCTGTTCTTTCCTCTGGGACCAGGTCCACATTCTCCACATCATGCTTCTCATCTTTGTTTTGTTTATAAGAGCAGAAAAGACTTAGTTACAAATATATCAGTACTTACTGAAATACAACATATTTGAATATAGGATTTCTGATTTTAATTTAGCAAGAGAAATGGTGTTTCCCATATTCGACTGAATTTAAGTTCTGAGCTAAATCCATTCTTTTACAATGAAAAACTACAGGCATTTTGAAAACTGTCTGGAGAGAAAAATGTAAGGCTTTCTAGGGTCTGCTTCTGCTGCCCAGAGATGGTGTAAGCTAGGAGATAGGGACACGATCCTCTTGGTGTCAGTCTTTATTCAAGCATGTGAAAAAAACTAATGCCAGATGGTAATAATTCCATTAAAAAGCATTCTTCTAGTGACTAATGCTCAAAATAAAATTGACAATTGTTTGTAATGAAATAAGTTCATTTCAAGCAGGAAACTAGTAGATGACATAGTAAATTTTATGTAATTCTGTGCCGTCTTCTGTGGACTTACAAGAAGACATAAGGTGCATGTTAGAAGTTCTTTACAAACTAAATTACAAAGGGTCTTTAAAAAGTCCTTGGGGGGGGGACCAGTAATTGGTGTAATGGCTATGTTGCTGGACTCCCACGTAGTCAACGGTGTTTTGAGTCATGGATCCGGTAGCTTAAGATCATGCCGGGCACATGTGCATGTGTGCCCAAGATCCTTAGAGGAGAACAGAGGAGAAGGGATTGTGGTGTGGCCATCCGTCCTGGGGGTTGATTTTTCCCTTTCTGTCTCTCTGTCTTTCTGGTGAGTGCACGCCTTATAGCAAAAAACAAAACAAAACAAAAACAAAAACAAAAATAAACCTCTCCAAAAAAAAAAAGTCCTTGGAAAATAAATTAAAGTATGAGTTTATTCTGGTGTAAAATATTTTTTTAAGTCAAGCATAGTTGCTTTTTTTTTTTTTGTAAGTTTGCTATAGAGTGTGTGTGCTTGCTTGACAGAGGCAGAGACTGAGAGAAAGAAAGAGGGAGGGAAAGTGAGAAATCACTCCCCAAAGGTGATGGTTACTCTATAATCACTTTTCCATTCTCCTCTTGTGATTTTGGGCATGTATGCATGTGTGCCCAGTGTGTTTTTTAAGCTGCTGGATCCAGGACTTGAACCATGCAGTCATCTGCATAGGATCCAGTGACCTTAACTCTGTGCAACCTGCTGGCCCAACCATGCAGAGTTTTTTAATGATATGTCTTTCCATACACTTCTTTTTTTTTTTTTTTGGAGAGATTTTTCACTGTAGGGCACGTGCGCTCGCCAGACAGACAGAGAGAGACAGAGAGACAGAAAGCGAGAAATCACCCCCCAGGGGGGATGGTCACGCCGCAATCCCTTCTCCTCCATTCTCCTCTCAGGATCTTGGGCACGCACGCACACGCGCCCAGCGTGAGTTTTAAGCCACCGGGTCCGGGACACGAACCGCGGTCGACTACGTGGGAGTCCAGCGACATAGCCATTACACTAACTGCTGGTTCCCTTTCCATACACTTCTGAAAACCACTAATAATGTTAAGTAGAGATCAAAGATGTGATTTACCAGCAAAGAAATTAGTATATCATCCATTGGTTAGAAATTATAAATTTCGGGACCAGTAGTTGGCATAAGGGCTATGTCACTGGACTCCCATGTAGTCTACCCCGGTTCGAGTCCTAGACCCAGTGGCTTAAACTCACGCTGAGCGTGTGTGCATGTGTGCCCAAGATCCCAGTGGAAGAGAAGGGATTGCAGCATGGCCATCCCCCCTGGGGGGTGATTTCTTGCTTTCTGTCTCTCTGTTTCTCTCTGTCTTTCTAGTGAGCACATGTGGTCTATAGCAAAAACCTCTCAAAAATATGTTAGGGATTCAGAAACAAAAAGTTCATTTCTCTGTCACAACTCATCCTAGGATCTAATCCTGTCTCTCCAAAGAAATTATTTTGAAAAAAAAAAGTCATCATCCCTTTCAATGTAACCATATACATACACAAACACACAAACCAGAAAAGGCTTTAGAAAACTAAGACACACACACACACACACACACACACACATGCATAAGGACTCAAGACAACTGCAATGCATAACTCATGAGTAATGACTACAAATAAAAGCTCTCA